GACATCCAAACTGTGACCTTTCATTTGTAGGACTCGAATTTAAAAAAATACTCCGTGGTTTTAGTCCGCAAGCGAACTATACCGACCGAGCGACCTCCGCTTTCCGGCGAAGTTAGTACTGTCTTTTGCGGATAGAGGGTGTCGCGTGGTCAGTGCAACGGATCCCCACGGCCTTTAAGCTCGGTTTTCTAGACCGGAGCCGCTATTTCCTTCGAATAACTCCTTAGTTATCCTCACGAGGCTGAGTGGACCCCGTTCCAGACCCACTACTTCTCAGAAAATGCGGTAGCGCCGAGAATCGAACCCGGACTTCGGGATCTGTAGCCAGGAATTCTGACCACTAGACCACAGAGGCGGTTCGGACTCGAATTAATTGTGTGTTTCTAGGATCCAGTAGGTCAACGGGCGTCTGGGTGCTAAACAGCTGCAGGCGTGGAATTTAATTTGTATTAATAAAGGCAGGAGTAACCACGTGACATTTTTTATTGACCTTGAGTGTCTGATGCCTTGTTACTTTTAGTACGTGCTTCTCTTAACAAAGCTCAAGCGCAGATGTCACCCCAGTCGACGAGAACTTCTCCTCGTCCCACCCAATATAACAAAAGACAAAACTTCCTCACAACTTCATCATAATTAATAACGCGAAATGTTTAGACATAAGTAAGTAAGTAAAGCTATCCCTGTAACAGGCCGTGAAGGCCCATAGGGTTGAGACGTCGAGGTTCCCACATTTTCTAGACAATCGGCTCACAGATGGCGGTAAGGTTGTCAGCCTTACGCGCCGGCCGCCCTTTACCTTCAGGAAGATTCCTGGTACTCATTTCTGTTAGAGGCTGAGTCGAATCCAGGGCCATAGTGCGGTTGGAAGGATTGGGTCAACTAAAAAAAAAAATCCAATGACCTCATCAGGACTTGAATCCGCGACATTCCGGCTTGTAGCATAGTGCCTCAACCAGGTACGGTACCGCGAGCCCCCCGCAATGTTTAGACATTCTGAGGAGCACTGTCATTGGTGTCAAAATACTTAAAGCAGCTTTATTTACATTGTTGCCTAACTTGTTTACGTTACTGACAATTAATGGTCATAATGTCAACAGAAGAGACCGTCTCTGTGGTCTAGTGGTCAGAGTTCCTGGCTACAGATGCAGAGGTCCCGAGTTCGATTCTCGGCGCTGTCAGATTTTCTGAGAGGTAGTGGGTCTGGAATGAGATCCACTTAGCTTCGTGAGGTTAATTGAGGAGTTATATCAAGGAAAGAGCGGCTCCGGTTTAGAAAACCGAGATTAACGGCTGTGGGGATTCGTTGCGCTGACCATGCGATACCCTCTATCCGCTGAAGTTGGCACTAACTTCGCCGAAAAGCGGCGGTCGCTCGGTTGGTATAGTTCGCTTGTGGACTAAAGGCTACGTAGTTTGTTTTGTTGAAATGTCAACAGAAGATCAGTAACAATTCTCATTTAAAAGAGGTCCGTAAGTTGTGCCGTTTGGTTCTCCTGTCCCTTCACGCCGGGCTGCCTATGAATGTAGGAGTAATCTGAAGGGAGCTTTATCCAGGATCGCTGGATCGAGACTACGAGTATATACGGTATGATGATAGGATGATAAATGAATGATGAATTGGAAATCATCTGGAAGAAGGCGGTCGTGGAGTAACCGAGCCCTTCTTGAGGAACCGCCAAATCTGCAGCTATTCAAGAATTTCCCAGCATTTTATGAAACCCGAAGGTTCACTGCCGTGTACACGGGAGCCTTCTACTGGTCCCTATCCTGAGCCAGATCAATCCAATCCACACAATCCTATTTCTCTTGAGATCCATTTTAATATTATTCACCCACCTACGCCTTGGTCTTCCCAGTGGTCTCTTTCCTTCTGGATTTCCCACCAATATCCTATACGCATTCCTCGTCTCCCCCATTCGTGCTACATGCCCCGCCCACCTCATCCTCCTTGACTTGATCATTCTAATTATACCTGGAGAAGAGTACAAGTTATGAAGCTCCTCATTATGCAGTTTTCTCCAACCTCCTGTCACTTCATCTCTCTTCGGTCCAAATATTTTCCTCAGCACTCTGTTCTCAAACACCCCCAGTCTATGTTCCTCCCTTAATGTCAGAGACCAAGTTTCACACCCATACAGAACCACAGGCAATTTAACCTATATGATATTGATTTTAATTATGGTAACATTTCCCTACGGGTATGTTACCTAATCATAAAATTAAAACTGATAACAAGACCCATTTCCTGCTCGTGATAATATAATTTATTCGAGTTTTAAGCTTTCACGTTGCTAGAAGCCGCCGTGAAAACGTCGTCGCCCACTAATAAATTCAGAATTGCTGGATTTATCTAAAAACAGTTAATACCGAGTGTCTGACATTACAGCCGACCTGGCAACTGTGTTTCAAAATGTCTTACTTCAGAAACGGCACTGATAATTCCATATCTTTTTTTTTTCATTGTCAGATAACCTAATAGGGCTCTGAACAATTTCACTTTATTTGCTTTTAAAACTAAAAGATATTCTGGATACTGTCAGCACTGTTAAATAACCATCTAAGAAAATGAGGAACTTTACCTCAACTGCTGTCTCCATTACAACTTGTAAGAACACAACATTAATCATAGAAAACCAGTAGACAACTGAGAGAAGAATGTTGGTTTTCGATCATAGGTTAGAAGAGCTTTGCGCATGCGAGTTAAACTTTTATGTTCAACGCTCAAGTTTTCTGCTGAGGGCAGCATAGAATTGTAAGTCGCCCAGAGTGACTTTGGGGCCCACCCGGCCTTCTATTGAATGGGTTCAGGGGGCTCTTTCCACGGGTATAAAGCGGCTAGGAACTGAAACTGACCACTCACTTAAACCTAGTGCCAAGGTCAAGAATGTCGGAGCTATACCTCCATTTTATGGCATAGTGCATAATTAAGCACAGGGACAACTTCACCTTTATATACAATATATATACTATATATACAGTATATAAGAGCTTTAATTCATCAATTTTAATATATTTATAAATGTTGTGAAGTGAATATGTCTATTAATACATTCCACTCTTGTCTTTTAATTTTCGAGACCCATGTCTGATATGCAAATTGGTTTTCATAATTTAGTCGCATATCAGAATGTTAAAAAATTTCGGTGTACATTGCAGTGGACATTTGACCTTGAAGATGTTGATTAAAAGCCGAAAAATTCGAACAGCTTGAGTATATCGTGACTTTCTTTCCCCTTATTGATTCCATCTTAAAATTTATGGAATAGACAAAACGAAGAATGAAGTCTCCGAAACGTCAGAGTATTGATATGCATGGATCACCAGAAAATAATAATAAGAAATTACATCTATATATTACACACATGTACTGTACTGCAGCTTGTATTGTAGCTTAACGTAGAAACCTCAAATTATTCATTGCAGGAAAACCGCCTACAGCAAAATTTCTTTTTGAGCTCTAATTCCGGCAAAAGGGTCGGACGAACCCACCGTCAAGTCTGGTCGACCCTCTGCGTGTAAGTTCACTTCACGGTTACGCTGTGTTACAAGAGATGGGTAGTCTACTGACCTCTCTGTTGGGAGTAGGCTCGAACCCTGATATAGACGTGCCGGATCCCGCTACTGGGTTAACGCCACGTGAGAAGATGGCCGTCAGGCGCATTTGGGATATTGTCAAAGCAGATATCAAACAAAACGGCATTGAACTTCTCATTATGTAAGTATCATTATCTCTTGGAAAATAATAAATTATACTGAGGTCACAGGAAGAAACCCCATTGATCGGCCCCCACCACATCTCCTCTTGCCTTCCACCATATTCCCCCATACACCCCTCCAATCTTCTAACCATTATCTTCACAGGAATGCTGGTCGTCATAACCGTCTTAACGACATGATAACTCCGAGGGGCTGGATGGCGTTGGCCCAAACGAAACACAGAAGTAAAAGTGGAAGACTTGAGTGTCGTCATCCCTACCAACCACGGAACTTATTTCCGTCCCCTCAGTATATTTCAATTCAGTAAACAAAGTGATAAAATGGGTACAGATAATTTGGTATTACCCATAATCCTTTCCATCCTCAAAACCTCTTTCTCTGACAACGATCATAATATCTCCTTTCATTCTTGTCATAATTTTTCAAAATTAACGCTTTTCAAGAGTTTTTTAATACAAAAATTGGTTCTTTGCGTCGTTGCCGGTATAGCGACTGGCTACGGGTTGGACGGCCGAGGGGTCGGAGTTCATTTCCCGGTAGGGTCAAGAATTTTCACTTCTCAAATCGTCCAGACCGACTCTGGGGTCCACCCAACCTCCTATAAGGTGGGCTCTTTCTCAGGGGTAAAGCGGCCAGGGCATGGAACTCGCAACTCACCTCCAACTAATGCCGAGGTCAAGAAAATATGGATCTATAAATCCACTCCCCCATACGTTTTCATGGTGCAGTACTTAATTAGTTAAGCACAGGGACAACTTTACCTTATTCAAATACTTAACAGAATCCATACTTTCCCAGCACAAAATATTTATCTATTTGTTCGGCTGTTAAGTGTCAACATAAATTTTGTCAGACTGTACAGCGCCTTTCTAATAACGTAAAGGTAGAATTTCGCTTGTGTCTTACGTAGCAGGCAACGAACGCAAGCGCAAACAAACCCCCACGTGTTCCTAATCTCCGTACTAGATGTAAAGGGCATTCAGCTTCACGCTTCAGCTGCTTTAACTCTGTGGAGAAAGTCCATGGCATGCACTGTACAGAAGACTGGATGCGTCCAGTCCCTGATTGGACGTCGTGGCGAAGTGTAAACCCCTGTTCCTGCTGGGAACCAAATACCCGTACCCAACCAGACACCTTATTTCTTTTATTGCTAGTGGGGTGGGACATCTGGCTCAGGATAGGGACCAGTGGAGGACATTTGTGACCACGGTAATAAACCTTCGGGTTCCATAAAATGCTGGAAAGTTCTTGAGTAGCTGCAGAATTGGCGACTCCTCCAGAAGGGCTCAGCTCCATGGGTAAGTAAGTAAGTAAGTAAGTGGGGTGGGACTAAGTCCCTTGTACTGCGGCCACTTCTGGCCTATTGTACCAGCCCCAGATGATAGGTGAGGGTGATTGTGGAGCAATTGGTGGAATGAAGGTTAGCAGGGGAAACCGAAGTACTCGGAGAAACCTGCCCCAGTGCCATTTTGTCCACCATGAATCCCACTTGACTAGACCCCCGGGATCGAACCCGGGCCGCCGCGATGGGAAGCAAGCGACTAACCGCTTGAGCTATGGCGCGGCCCTAACCAGACACGTTACACACCCAGCTAACCCACTACAACATTAGCTGCGCCATAGCTCAAGCGGTTAGTCGCTGGCTTCCCATCGTGGCGGACTGGGTTCGAGGCCGGGTCATATGGGACTTGTGGTGGACAAAGTGGCACTGGGGCAGGTTTTCTTCTAGTACTTCGGTTTCCCCTGCCAATCTTCATTCCAGCAATTGCTCCACAATCACCCTCACCTATCATCTGTGGCTGGTACAATAGGCCGATAGTGTGTAGTACCAAGTGGACTGCCTCACCGCACTAATAATAATAATAATGTGAAGCTGTCCCTATGCTTAACTAGTTAAGTACTACGCCATGTAGGCGTATGGGGGAGTGGATGTATAGATCCACATTTTCTTGACCTGCCGCTTTACCCCCGGTACCCATTGGATAGGAGGCTGGGTGGACCCTAGAGCCGGTCTGGACGATGTGGAGAAGAGAAAATTCCTGACTCTACTGGGACTTGAACTCGTCCAGCGTGCAGCCAGTCACTATACCGACTGTGTCATCCCGCCTCTTATAATAATAATAATAATAATAATAATAATAATTGTGCAGATTCTTCAAATCAAATCCAAGCCACCAAAGATATTTTGAGGCATTCAAAGACGTATCCCTGAAGGATCTACCCAGCAACCGAAAATTTCAAGCTCATTGTACAAGTGTCATGTATGCCCTGACGAGTGTTGTGGACAATTTGGATGACACTGGGTGCCTTGTTGAGATGTTAACGAAGCTGGGACAGAACCACCATCGCCATGGCATCACAAGACAAGAATTCATTGTGAGTAGCAACTGACAGGCTGCAGGTGTTCGTGTCAGTTTCATTCTATATTTCCGTTTCCTTGCAAAGTTGCTTCAAAACGAATCTTTTCCATACTTCCACGTTTCACTGTTAGTATACCTGTATTTACAGTGAAATAAGAATTTCTTCCATTGTTGAGTAGCCACAAATAAAATCCCTTACTTATTTTTATTTCAGACTGCATACTACATGGTCAATAAGAATAATTAAAATAACGGTCAAAACGATCACTTTTATTTAAAAGTACCTCACATTTGGAATTATTGAACACTGTGATACCTAACCACTCTAAAATAATACACAAATTTATATCTTTCCCCCCCACCTTTTTCTGTCAATCAGCAAAAAGTGCAGTTCTGCACACTGTTGCAGGTCCCTGTCAGGCTGTACGGTGACAGCAGGAACCTAAATAGCTTTACAGCCTCTCTACACCTACAGTAAGCTACAAAATGTTCCTGTACAATCATAAGAAATTCCGTGAAATATTTTGCTGGTTGCAGCTGCAGTTGCCGAAAACATCTATGATTTACAGCATACATGCCATAACTGTGCATGAATATAACTATATTTTCAATAATTCCTAAGACCTGAGAACACCATTAAAGTAGGTTGCAATCCAGTTTGAGAATGATGCTCCACAGGTTTAGACCCCCAGGTCATTATTAGGGGTCTCTCACTGACAGTTGTCAGTCATCAAATATTTAACCTGCTTATTGTTCCATATATATTATAAAAATTCTACTGGGTTGAGTTTTCCTGCAGTTTTGCATTGGTTTAGTAGAACCTGTTAAAAATGTCCAAGAACCTGCAGTTGAGACAATAAAAATGATACTAGAACATTAATATAGATTATGAAATAAAGTATTTACATATATAACAAACATGCTGATTTTGAAGGATTGATGGTGACACATTACACTTAGGATTACTAAGTATCTGAATTTGCCTATTGTCTGGTATTTAAAAAAAACACATTTTGGAATACAAATCAATTACATCCAGATAGTCAGTAATCTGAAATGGCAAACATGTTTTGGCACCCACATGCACACATGTGCAACTTATCTATTTTGACCCATAAGATGAAAGTACTGTGTACCTCAAAAATGTCACCAATATTCTGTACATGTATATAAGAGCATAATTCTGTTTTGTTTGCAGGATCTTAAAGAAGCTGTATTGAAACTGCTGACAAAGAAACTTGCATCAAAGTTTACATGTGAAGATAAAGCAGCTTTGAGCAAGACGTTAGATGTTGCATACTCTGTTATTTTCACAGGGCTGGAGGGGCAAAACCTTTAGAAAGTGAATGTTAAACGAAACTTGGTCAAGTGAAGCACAGGAAAGAATTCTGTGACTTGTCTGTGAAGGATGAACGATGACAGCTGTGTTTCGGCACAATTATTTTAAAAATGTTAATAATTTTCAATTGAACTCTATGTTTTTTAATATTTACATGTTCTTAAAGACTCTTTTTTAATGTATTAACTTAGATTCTAAAGGAAACTGTGGCGTGTATCTTTAATATCAAATTAACATTGACTGGGCTGACAAAATAATAGCATTATTATTTCATATTATAAAGATTTAAAACATATTTTATTTGTCAATTGTATAAATTATTTTTCCATGCATTGTTGTGTTCTCAGGGACCAAGAAAGACTTATAACTACACCATTTACTTGAATCTGTAACTGCTAAAATGTTATTATCTGTTTACAGTTTAAATGTATTTATGTGTACTGGATTCCCCTGTATGTAAAACTAGGAAGAACTACAAATTTTACAAGTAACAGTATTTATAGAATGTAGAAGAAAGTGGAAAGAATACGTTGACAGAATTAAAAAACATAACCTTAAACTAACCAAAAAGAAAAAGGAATTTTGGAAGCTTGTTGAAATGATAGAAGGACTGTGTTTTGTAATATACATAACAGATTTCTAAAGGCATAATATTGGATAGAATGACAGCATTTATTCTGAGGAAAATGCAGCCTGACGTGCCCATAAAGCAGGAAATTCAAAGGAATTATCAGGAACCCTTTCACACTGGTTGCAGGAACATGATGTGCTGGTAATTCTGCTTGACCATAAGGCAATTATGTTGATTCTAAATGTTATTCTGAACTGAGCAGGGTGGGAATCTTAATTGAATATAAGTCTGTAATGATTATCACTCCTACTTTGTATTTAGAATGTCTTAGCTTCAAGCCCTCTTATGGCAACTGGTTATTTTGAGAAATATTTGAGGATTTCCTCAGCCCCTCCAAAAATATGGTGAGAGAGCAATCTAAACGCAACAAATTCCTTCAATACAGTTTAATCATTTACAATCATCACAACATTTAATACTACATAAGTAAGGTAAAGGTAAAGTTGTCCTTGTGCTTAACTAATTAAGCACTACGCCATGAAGGTGTATGAGGGAGTGGATGTATAGATCCACATTTTCTGGACCTTGTCACTAGCTGGAGGTGAGTTGTCTACTTCACACCTTGGTTGCTTTACCCACAGTACCCACTTTTTCTTTTTAAATTCGCCTAGGGGAGGGGGGGGGTTGGAGTCCAACTGGGTCCACTCGGCCCGGCAGCCACTGATTGGCCTATTGTAGCCTGCCCCGGGTGATTATGATGATGNTGGTATCTAACCCAGGCTGCCGTGGTGGAAAGCCAGCGATTAACCGCTTGAGCTATGGCGCAGTGTACATGAAACATACTCTGTGTGTAAGAAATCAAGAATTCAGTACTGATTTTGATAAGGCTTATTTTGCTATTCTACTAAATGATATTTCATACATTTGTTCCTCTATAGTTTTTCCTTTTGTAACTTATTTTATGATGCTATCAACATCTCAGAGTAGAGTGCTCATTTTTAGTATCATTAAAAAGGCACCGATGAGTAAACTAACTTAACACAGAAATAAGCAACTAAATCACACTGATATTGTCCAAATTGGTTTCTCATTATTTCTAGCTCAAGCGGTTAGTCGCTGGCTTCCCACCGCGGTGGCCCAGG